GGAGAGGGAATACTCACACCCACCAGCGAGCGCACGGGTCTCTCCGGGACCCAGCCCTGACCAGTCCCACGCACTCCCACAGGGCACACCCACGAGGTCCGGTCACCACAGGCTAACATGACCCGAATGAGGGAGCCTTGTAGGCAGAAGGGCACCCCCTCAGGCGGGCAGCCAGTCTCTCAAACTCAAGACTGAGAGCGATTCTTTATCAGCTCATCTGGCCCAGCACCTACAGACAGTGAAAGGCCACTTCTGACACCCAGTCCTTTCAAATAAAATAACTGTTTGTGTCAACAGACCACAGGGCCAGAGCTTCCATGCAAGTCCGCACGCTCTAGCCGACCTGTCCAGTTGCAGTCCGCTGGCTGGATGAGCTGCTGTTTAGTTTCTCCTCCTGCAGCCTAGATGCCCCCGTTGCAATGAGACCAAATGGTTGCAGCAGGAAGCACTGGATGAGCACGTCTGATACAAAACCACCTCCTTGTTTACATGGGACCAAATGCCTTTTCCAAGAGTTCCTCAAAAAGCAACTCAATTAACCATTGGAGCAATTACATGAGGTGTGACAGGAAGAGTATTCCCTGGAGCTGGCTTCAGTCCCAGGTAGGTTTAGGTAATGCTTAGTTGCCTAGAGAGCGGAGAAAACAATACTCCAACCTTTCAGACGGTGAGGTTCGAAGGAGCCACGGATCATATGAATCCTACAGGATCTCAGGGGACCTCTAGCATCTAGGCCATCGCCGCTCTGTTCACCTGGTTACTCTGCCTTGCATCTCTCAGATCCAGACCTTCTGTTTTCCCACTTTTCATGGGATCAGTAAAAACACGGAGTCATCTATAACCCGCACAACCATTTTTACTAAAATTATACATCATAAAATACGAGGTACCTCATACTTGAAGAATGCTATCTGTTTTTTTGCTTGCACAATAGTTCATGTATAATGTGTTGGGCCTTCCAATCAAAGTCTGGCACCTGCACATCTGGAGGTACCTTCACCATGACGCAATGGAAGCCACACACGACATACACCCTTGAGACGATGACCTCAGCTCTCTGAAACAAGGCTCTCAGAACCAGCCCTGGACTATAAAAAGCAGCACCTTTAAAAAAAAGGTTTCTTTATCTTGTAATATAACTTGTATTCTGATAAAAGCCACATAACATGGAATCCAGCCTACTAAAATGTTAAGTGTGCAGTAATATTGTTCACTATATGCACATTGTTGTACAGAAGATCTCTAGATCCTTTTCATCTTATGTGACAAGCTCTATACCCACAGCACAGCAACTCTCCCTTCCCCCTCCCCCTGTCCCTGCAAACACTATCCTACTTTGAAAAGCAGCACTTTTAAATAAAACCAGCCCTGGGTCAGAAAACTCTGGCTTAGAGGTGATGTTCCATGGAGCAGATCATTACAACATGGAAGTGTGTGAGTTGAGATGTTGAACACGGCCAGAATTAAAAATAAGAGAGCCTTCCCTACAAATCAATGATGCTCTGGGCCAGCGGTTCTCAACCTGTGGGTCTCGACCCTTTGGGGGTCAAACGACCCTTTCACAGGGGTCGCCTAAGACCATCGGAAAACACATATATAATTACATATTGTTTTGTGATTAATCACTATGCTTTAATTATGTTCAATTTGTAACAATGAAATTGGGGTTCACCACAACATGAGGAACTGTATTAAAGGGTTGCGGCATTAGGAAGGTTGAGAACCACTGCAGTCTAGGCTGTGTGGCTTTCTTTCCACAGACAACTGTACAAAACATGACAAGGTAAAACAGAGCCCCGATCTTCCCGATCTTCAGCGGAATCAGGTGGGCTTGGAAGATGGATGCCAGCCAGCTCTGCCCCGTAGCTCCTAGCTCAATGTTACTGGGGCCGCTCATTAACGTGGAGTGGCCCCTTCTGGTCCAGGCTCCTGGTATCAGAAGGTCTCTCCTAATTATCAGTCTTTCTATTACTAAGGTGCTGCTGGTTCTGGCTACCTTCCCGGAGTTGGTCTGTTGGGTTAACTAATCACCATGTAAATGTTTTCAAAAGAAGTGGAGAGTGCTATATAAACATCAAAGCAACAGAAAAGAAACACCAAGGTGTTAAGCAAAGCCACAAAAGTTGGGAATTTAGAAGAGGCGAGGCTTGGCTAATGAGATCCACTTAGAGTCTGCCAGTTAATTGTCAGCTAAGATCAGCTGAGAATCCCCAAGGTGCTCTGGGGTTTTCAGGGTTGCCATAGCTCTGGGACTCGCTCTCTGAGTGTAACTGTCCCTTGGGCTGTAATCTGACCAACTTCATAAATGCCAGACTATTCTGCTTTTGCTTGATTTTGCATATTAAAAAAAACCCCAAAGGGAAAGAATTCTAACACTTCCTCTTTTAAGAACTATTTTTAAGGGTTGGGGACTTGTCCATTCTAAACCAATGAAAGAGGGCCATAAAACTCACAATGTACTGAGGAGTCCAGATCTGATGCTTGGCTTTGAATTTGATAGACTATCATGCCCTGCTCTTTGGGAGGTCACTGGATTTTTGCTAGATAAAACTTCTTTCATTTTACAGTACCTTTCTTTTTTTGTTTTTTTGTTTGTTTGTTTGTTTGTTATCTCTGTATTTCATCTCTCTCCTTCCCAAGACACCATGCTTAGGAGAACATTCTTTTGACTTAAGGGGGAAAACAGCCCTACCCCTGCAGAACAAAGGATCGTATGTAAGGAAACATCCAAAAAATGTTACATATGGTGACAAGTTGTCAGTACTCTTCTGGCACAGAATGCATGTTTACTGGTTGATATTATTCCCCAACTGTTCATCAGTAATTTCATGTGCAAGAATTTTGTTCTCCCCACTTGCCAGAAATTTCTTTAAGGGGAAGGTCCACAGCTTCTGTTTCTTTTATAGTGTCCCCCAAACGCACAGTACAGTGTGGTCCTCACACCAAGACGCAGTGTAAACACGGACTGACTGGGTATATGGAGATTTCTTGAGTGGAAGCTTAACCTGAATGAGAGCTACGGAAATAAATGAGCACACAAAGAGGTTGAAATGCCGATTTCTTCCGCAAACACACCTCTACTCCTCCATCCCCCACCCCAATCCAACCCCTTTTCTAAGGCATTTTCAGTTCCAGATGTAGCCAACAGAAGTAGAAAGCCAGCACCCACTGCCAGACTGTATTACAGAGTCGCCCGCCTGAAGTTTGGTTCAAGGAGTAAGTGAGCCAGTGGATTCTCACACTCGAGCTGCATTTGTTGGTGATGGAATGTGGCTTTGGGGGACAGTCTGTCTAAAATACCTTCCCTGGTCCCCTCGTTTATAGAATGGGAAGGATAATATCCATCTGGAAGGGGTGTCCTGAGGGTTAAATATGGTAAGCAATTGAGAGTAGCAAATCCCACTGAGAAAACCACCAAGAAAATACCTGTGACTTACAAAGAAGGGGTTCAACTGAAGAGAGGTAACTCACACAGGCCCATCAGCCACAGATCTGCCTTAATAGACGCAGAGCAGGAGCTGTGGATGCCAGAATCCAGAGAGCAAGAATGGGCAGGGTACATGTGATGTATATTAAAATGCTATATTACTAAATAATGGTAGCAGGTAATGTTCCTGTTGCCTCAATAGTTAAAGGCAGACTGTTGATAAACTTCATGTGAAACAAAAGCAGAAAGGCTGAAATATAGTTGGGAGTTCAGCAGAAACAATTTTTTAAAAAATTCCTGAGCATTTACTGTAAGTCTGGCCTATGCAGAGTGCTTTACCTATATGATCTCATTGAATCTTCCTAATACTTTAGATCAGCGGTTCTCAACCTGTGGGTCGCGACCCCTTTGGCGGTCGAACGACCCTTTCACAGGGGTCGCCTAAGACCATCCTGCATATCAGATATTTACATGACGATTCATAACAGTAGCAACATTACAGTTATGAAGTAGCAACAAAAATAATTTTATGGTTGGGTCACAACATGAGGAACTGTATTTAAAGGGCCAGAAGGTTGAGAACCACTGCTTTAGATAGATTTCACCTTCCCACTTAAGATGCAGAAATTGGGGGATGGCAAAAGTACAGAACTTGTCCAAGAATTCAACACTAACATGGGTGTGGAGCCAGGATTGGAACCCTGGTCTGACTCTAAACTCCACTGCCTCTCCAACCGACACGTAATAACTCATGAATGGGGCCACTGCAATGATATCATCGACAAGTCACTTACCTCCGCCTTTATGTGTTAACCAGCCAAACTGTACCAGGTACTAGAAACCACCATGGAACACCTGATGGCCACAGGCTCCTCCAGGTTGGAATGGGGAATGGTGGGTTCCTGCCTCCCTACCACCCTCGAGCCATTTATTGAATAATTATAGCCTCCCAGGCATTAGGGATACACAGAAAAAGCAATCTCTTTTTACTAAAGCAGCTTTGGGATTTATCGCCAGGAAGACATAAATTTGTATGTAAAAAGGATCATGAAGAATCCCATCTCTTCCATAATGGGCAAAGTCCAGGGATTGAGAGCTGTTAAATTAATTCCCCCAAACACTTAAATATGTCTAATCTGTGCAAACTCAGTGCTTCCCAGAGTCAAAGCCTAACTGACACCCACCAACGAGGGAATCTTACTCAGAGATGAAGAGGGTGGGGTCTGGAGTCATAAATCTTTTTCCAAATGGCAAAGAACATTTCCAGTTTTAAAAGGCCTGCCACCAACCTGGGCCTCCCTTCAACCATCTACCTTCCCGACTGAATTGTCAGAAGCCTTTACCACTCCTGTGGAGTAAAAGGGCGGTGTGGGCAATATTTTGAAGTTCTAGCTGGGGACGGCTAAATAAGAGGCAGATGCACAGAGCCATTAATCAAAACATTTACCACCCATAATGAGAACTATTCAGAGCATTTTCCTTCCAAATAACTCAAAACAAGGCTGCCAAAATGCGCAGACCCTGACAGGGATGTCCATTTCAGAGCTGTGTTATTGTGCTCTACTCAGCAACCATGGCTGATGAAATCAGAGTGCCAAGTGGGGCTGGAAGGGACATAGGTGTGGATGCAGCTGGAATGATGAAGTCCCATCATCAGGCCAGCATGAAGTGGGTGCGTGAACTTGTGAACTTTCCAGCATCCAAGATACAGAAAGAAGCTTGTAAGAATGGCACCCCGGCCAAAGGGGACGTCTGTTCTGGGCCAGAAGGAGTGAAAGGGGGACAAAGCCTGGCAAGGGAAGGCCAAGTAATAAATGAGCACAATGCCAGAGCCCCTAGCCCAGGCCTTTTATTTCCCCTCCAGATGGTCCAGCAGCTGAACAGCTACGAGGAATGTCTGCATGTCCCTCTTGGCTCAGCCGCTTTCGCTGGGTATTACTATAATAGATGCTTTGGGTCTGTGATCTGACATAGCTGTTGGGGGCCCACAGACCCGACAGTGACCACCAAGTGACTAATTTAGTTACTTTATAACTAGAACGATAAACAAGCTTTCACCCTTTGGCAAATCAGAGCCTCACAATGCCAACGATCAAATTAAAACGTTTCCTTTTCTTCTCTCTTTTCTGTACTTTAATTTGCTGCAAAGATTTCCAGTCTTACTCTTTTGGACTTACTTCAGTATAAAATGAAATAGGGACGAGACTAAATTTAAGTTTAGCAAAAGCTTAATAGAAAAAGCAATTGTCCCCATTTACGTAGTTATATGGAATATTTCTGCCCAAAACTGCTGCTCACACTAATTACTGTGAGATAGCCTCCTCTCTGCTCAGATAGCACCTCATTTCTAGCTGGATACCAACAGCACAAAGAGTATCACCAAGAATGAAATCATCGTATAAAAATATAACACAAAAGCTTAAATGCCACCACACAGAAAAAAAAAAAGCCAGATTAAGTTAGAAAGAATAACCACCTTTGCTAACTACACTATAAAATTTAATTTTGCTAAGGGTATCCTACTAGTATTTATTCTAAAACATAAATAAACTTAGTATTTTACTATCCTGAATGATGTAGCAAAGCCAAGCTTTTGTTAACTCTAATAGCAAGGTGGATTACCCAATCAAATTGTTCTCTCAGGATAGCTGGAGGAATAGAATCATGAGCCTAGCACACTGTAGGGTCCATAACCTGTAATCAGCTACCAAGACTACAGAATCAAAAAACTGCAGCCTGTTTGTCACTTTCTTAAAAGAGACTGCTGGTAACAACTTTCACTTCTTGAGCCGTATTAACTCAAATGAATGTAAAATGCCTGCAGGTGTGAGAACAGTTCGTTGGGGTCAACGTGAAGAGCTTCACTTTTTACATCTATAAACAATAGGTTTTCTCAACTTCGTTTTTTTTAAGTGAGCATTAGGACAGAAATACTTTGTAATTTTCCCATCCAAAAGATGGAATAAATGGTTAATTTCTGCTGTAAGTGGCAATACAGAAACATCCTCCTAATTTCAAAGTTGCTCACTTGCATATACCCATCATCTTTTTAAAATTCTATTTTATTTGTAATTAGGATAAAATATCTCTTTTGCAAGCTTCAGTATGTCTCTTCACAAGCCCCTGCCCAACAAATGTACGTTCAATAGCCAGAATTTAAACCACATAATTTACTGGCCTACAAATGTACTGGCATCTACAAAAAATAAACCTCCTGAAAAGACTTTAGGCTGTTTGAATGCCTCAAAAACGCTCTGGTTAAACTTGCCAACCCTTTACCAAGGTTAGCCTGATAAAAATGTATTTTCATTATCACCATAAAGTGGAAGCATCAAGATGGCTGAAATGTTAGTTTAGAAAGCCATTTGCAGTGACATTTAAAACAATTTATTTGAACAACACTTAACATATGATAAGAATATTGCCTATTAAGTTAAGATGGGCTGTTCAGAATTCATTGGAGCCCCTTTGTCCCCCTCTGTGACAGTTAATATCTTCTGGTATTAAGGATCATCACATACTTAAAAAGGAGGTGGGGGGGGAGGGGGGCAAGTGGAAGAGACCAAGAAAAAAGACACCCATGCCATTCTGAGTAAGTGCCTATTAAAAAGACTGAGCCGTGACATTTTAATGCAAAGACGGTGCCGGTGATGGCTTCCTTCCCGTTGTCCCCTGGAAAGCCTTTTCCTGCCTTTGCCCCATGTTTGACCCATCTGGAACATCCATAAGTCCTACCCTTTACCTATGCCGGGCTCAGCATGCTTTCCTCTAACCCAGTGGTTCTCAACCTTCCTAATGCCGCAACCCTTTAATACAGTTCCTCATGTTGTGGTGACCCCCAACCATAAAATTATTTTTGTTGCTACTTCATAACTGTAATTTTGCTACTGTTATGAATCGTAATGTAAATATCTGATATGCAGGATGTATTTTCATTGTTACAAATTGAACATAATTAAAGCATAGTGATTAATCACAAAAACAATATGTAATTATATATGTGTTTTCCGATGGCCTTAGGCGACCCCTGTGAAAGGGTCGTTCCACCCCCAAAGGGGTCGCGACCCACAGGTTGAGAACCGCTGCAGTCTAAACAATCACCAGAGAATAGGTGAAAGTAAAAAAATCTGCCAAGAAACTCCCCAGCAGTTCCCTTGACCTCCCTAAGGACACTGACAACAGCTGAGGAGACCATAGGAAACTGATTTTGCAGTCAGCCTGTAAGGTACTTTTACACACAGGCGGGGAATTTTCACAGCCCCCTCCACGCCAAACAAGATCTGCCAATATTCTAGGTCAGCCACCAATGTGCTTCTCACTAGAGAAGATCAAGATAAAATTAACCTGACACTGAAACAACAACAAAAAACAAACCCCAAACAAAACATTTCCTTGCAGAATGTTAAGCCTCAGGAAAGAAGTAGACATACACATTTATTTTGATCTTAGAGCTTAGCCCATGTGCCACAGTGGACTTTATTAGGATGCTAATCCTAAACAGCTACCTCCTCACTCACAAAAGACAACGATGCCATCTGATTTCATTCCATAAATTCAGGAGTTGAGTTGTATGGCAAGCCCATCTCGGGAATTCCTCAACACCAGGAGAGGATCTGCTCCCGTGAAGTAAAGACAGCAGAAGATCTCCTAATAGCTTAGCTGTCTAGACACCGGGTACATGGAAGAACCATCTTTCCAGCCCCCATTTAACTGGCAGGGTTGGGGCTAGGAAATCGCCTCTTCCTATCTCTATCGCTTCCAACTTCACAGAAAGAGCTCTCAGCAGGCAACTGTTCCCACCAGCTTTGTCCTTTTGTCAGGGACCGGTTTGGTGGCTGCAGAAGCCCAGCTCCGGGACCCTGGACGCTGCTCCCGCAAAACTCCACACTTGATACTGCTGCTCTAGCGAGCAAGGCTTTCAGGCAACAAAGTATCATTTTGTTCTTTTCCCTTCCTTAGTGGTAATTGCCCTGGGAAAGTCTTTCTATATATATCGATCCCACACTCCTGGGAAAAATCACACTTTAAGGGTAGCTCTCCGAAACTCAAGACAGCCCAGGTAACACCTCGGGCTTCTCGCGACAGGGCTTCCTTCAGTCGCTCAACCACAGGGCTGCCTGGGTGGCACACGGCAGCAGAACAAACCACCCTTTCTGCTCCCTCCGGGACTCAGGTCCACTCCTGGACCAACACATAGTAGCCGCTTTCAGCTGGCGGCTGCGGG